TTGGCTGAATGATGGTAGTTAATCATCTACCCGATTTTTGGCTTCAGTTTCTATCATTGTAAAATAAAGGGGCAGATCAATACAGCTATATAAAGTTCCATCTCCATGATGCATGATCCAAAGAGGAGCTATTATTAATAGTCATTATTAACTTGTGCACTGGTAAAGACATCACCACATAAATAAACACCCTTTATGCATGTGGACACTTAACTGCTATACAGCTACCTACAATATTAAGCTAACAGAATAAACCAAGCAAATTCTCATGATGCCAGCAACTTTAAAAGAGTTTTCACTATTCATTCTCAGGAAAATGTAAACAGCAACTACCAAGTACCAATCACAGTACTAGGCAATAGGGATACAAAATTAATAAGACAGGATTCTTGCCACAATCCATTCACTCACTCATTCATTCATCAAATCTTTACTGAATGCTTATTACACACCAGGCAAAATTCACAGGGAGATGGCATTGAACACAATAGACAAGGTCCCTGGTTTTTAAGAAATTTATATTCTAGTTAAGGAGATATTCTCTTATCTATCCTAGCAGCATAGTAAAATACAGACTACTCCTTCGCCTTGGACTAAAGAATGGAGGGATGCCAAGTGACAGCCAACAATCAAAGAATAAGAGCACAATCAAGACCTCAGCAGCAATGAAAAGGGCACTGTATAAGGAGCTCCAAGCACTGGCCTCTGCCACTAACTTTCTAGGGATCTTTTAAATATAGCTTCATATCTCTGAGATTCAATTTCATCTGAAAAGTAAAAGGGCTCGCCCAAATCAATGGTTCTTAACCCTCCTAAGGTCACAGACCTTTTTTCAAATGTTATCAAAGCTAAGGCCTCTTTACTCAGAGAAATGCATAAGTGTACATACAAACTAAATTTCACATATAATGTCAAGGTGTTCACTGACCCCCTGAAGCTTATGTGAATATCAACTTAAGAATCTCTGAACTAGGTATATCACTGAAGAGGCTTCCAACTGCAAGTATCCTGCTTCCATTTCATTTTACCTTGTCTGGTCCTTTTAGGAAGGCACTCTAGTGGTACAGTGGTTACTGCATCCATTTGCTAACCAAAAGGTCAGTGGTTTGAACCCACAAGCCACTCTGTGAGAGAAAGACGAGGCTGTCTGCTTCCATAAAGATTTACAGCTTTGGAAACACTATGAGGCAGTTCTACTATGACCTATAAGGTCTCTATGAGTTGAGATCAACTTGACGGCAGTGGGTTTGGTTTTTTGATTTTGGTCCCTCTAGGATTTCTAGTATACAGCTGTCTCAGGATACTATGGTAACATGTTTTTTGTTTGTTTATTTTGTTTTTTTAAATTAAGATGTTGTTGTTATGTGTCATCAAGTCAGATCCAGGTTTTCAGGCATGGGTTTCCAAGGCAGTATCACTAGGTACTAGAAGTAGATTGCCCAGCCTTCCTTCCGAGGAGTGGCTGGTGGGTTTGAACCACGAGCCTTCTGGTTAGCAGTCAAGTGTCTTAGGCACTATGCTACCAGAGCTAAATTAAGATAGATACATCTATCTATCTATCTATCTATCTACCTATCTATCTATCCATGCTAAAAAGGAAAGGTTCAAAGAAAGAGACAGGTAGCTAGCTGACAATTCTATTCCTCAGGAGGAAAGAAAAAGCAGAACAAGATATTATGAAAATTAAACACAAATGTATACATGCGTGGCAGTTTTACAACACAGCCCCAAAATTCTCTGATGTTCCTCCCATCAAGAGACAAGAATCTATGTCCCCTCCTCTTGAATCTGTGCTACGACTGCTTCACCAGCAGAACACTGCAGAAGTGATGTTGTGCCAGGTGGCAGGCCCAGGCCTTAGAAACCAGCAGCTTCCTCTTCCTGTCTCTTGAGATGCTTGCTCATGGAACCGAGCCACCATGCTGTGCAGAAGCCCAGGGCACATGTACATGTCCCTGCTGAAAGTATCAACTGCTAGATATGAGAGTGAAGACCCCTCCAGATGATCTCAGCCCCAGCTGTCAAGGCACCCCCAAATCAGAAGTCGTTCCAACTCCAGACATTGTGCAGCAGAAGCAAACCATCCCTTGCTATGCTTTGTCCAAATTCCTGACCCAGAGTCCATGAACCTAACAGGTGCTGTTTTACACCACTAAGTTTTAGGGTGGATTGTAAAATAGCAATAGATAACTAGAACATCTTTAACTTACTAAGGATCATGTAATATTTCTCATACAGTGGCATCATAAATGAGCCATTTTTCTAAATAGTAAATAAATACTACTGAAGTTCACTGTACATTAATTTAAGAAAAAACTAAGGTCTAGAAAACCAGACTCAAACTCAGGGGTCACTAATCTGTCAGATTATCAAATAAAAAAATAAATGTTTTGAAAAAAGAAAGAGATCTTATAGATAGCAATGAAAATTTCTCATGACATTAACATAACTGCCAGAGTTAAATTTCCAAGTTCATTCATTGGACAAATATTTGCAGAGTATCCATCTATGCTAGGCTTTGTTCTAGATGTTAGACAGGTAGCCTTGAACACAAGAGATAAAAATCATTACTCTCACAGCACTTACATTCAGTGGAGGGGAAAGAGATAATACACAAGACAAATAAAGATGTTAAATGGCCTCAAGAACTAAGGACAAATACAAGCCAGGGAAGGAGGTTAGAGAGTGTTGCCAGTAATAGTGATGATGGGGAATACGTTACAGAGGTGACATTTGTATCAAGATCTTATAGAGGTGAAGAATAAGCCATGTGGGTTTATCAGGAAACAGCATTCCAGGCAGAAGGAAGAGCAAGTACCAATGCTCTGAGGCCAATGTAGCCGGGGTTTACTGAGGAAGCAAGAAAGCATAAAAGATGAGTTCAGTGAGGAAATGAGACCGGATAGTAAAGTTAATTTCTGACAAAAAAAAGCCCATCAGCACTGGACTTGGAATCAGGAGAACCAAATTCAAAGAGAACAGGAATGTTTCTGTTTTGTTCACTGATTTATGTCCAGTGCCTAGAACAGTGACTAACACCTAGTAAACACTCAAAACACATTGGTTAAACGAACAAATTAACTCTATTACTTAGTAGCTACTTGACTTAACAATTGACACTAATTTTTTAAGCCCCCATTTTCTGATTTTTAAAGTTAGAATGATAATTCCTACCTACCTCACAGGGTCACCGTGAGGCTCAACAGTGCAAAAGGTCTTCACATTATTATTGAAAAAATTAGCAACAGCAGTTATCATTAACAATTGTCTCCCCAAATGTCCTTCCCACCCCTGCCCTACTAATTTCCACCTGCAAATCATTCTCTCCCTCCATCTGTCATGGAACTGGGGAAGGGTCATCTTCCTTTCAGCAGAAGAAAGTGAACTTCAAGCACTTGAAGGCTCTTGAAAATGAGGACAGTAATTAAGATGATAGTTAACTCCTACCTACTTTTCCAGTAGGCTGTCTAAAAAAAAAAAAAAAAAAGAAGCATAGTTTCCATGTGAAGAGTCTACAGCCATGTGTAAAATCCAGTCAACATGCAAACCATTTTTCTCCTGCCAAAAGGCAAGAACATCTAATAAGAACACCTTGACACTTCCCTATATATCTTGTTTCTTATTTAAACCTACACCAGACTATAAGGAAGGAAGGAAGGAAGCAAAGGGAAGGAAAACAATGAAAAAGGAAGGAAAAGGGGTAACATGAAGAAGAAATACTCAGGATTTGAAAAATTTGGGGGGATCTGCTAATCCAATCATCTCAAATACTGCCTGAACCCCATCAGGAACAGAAAATTTACTACTTAAAGTAGCACACTCCAACTGGAGACAGCTTCGTTCTCTCATCTGTAAGTGGGATATCTTCTTCTTAAGGATGCTTCAATTATAGAACAAAATAAAGCATACCAAAGCCTCTGGTATGTGCTAAGCATTCATTAAATTTTGGCTGAATCTGGGAAGTCTTCATTTATTCAATAAATATTAAGTGAACGACGCCCTATGCCAGTCAGTATTCTGGACATTGGGAAAGGGCTTGAGTGAAAAAGGCAGTCTCGTTCTCTTGGAGCTAACTCACTTCCACCTCCGGTAACTCACTGGCCCACGTTCACCCCCTGGAACTGCGTAGATGGCTTCTATGCATGAATACCTCCTCCACAGAAAAAGTTCTTTGAGATTTTGCAAATAGGTATCAACCACCTCACTTTTCACCCCTTTTCTCTAGCCTAAGGAGCATGATGTTGCAGTTGTTAAGCACTGGGCTGCTAACTGAAAAAGCAGCAGTTTGAAGCAATCTCTCAGTGGGAGCAAGATGTGGCAGTCGGCTTCGGTAGATTTACACCCTCGGAAACTCTATGGGGCAGTTCTACTCTTTTGCTCTAGGGTCACAAAGTCGGAATCAACTCCACGGCAACGGGTTGTGGTGACTTTTGTTTTTCTCTAGCCTAGAAAACAGCTTCACTTCTTTCAAGAAGTAAGCAAGGATGTGGGAACTAGCACCAAAATAGGGGTGGGCTGGGAGAAGGCGGGGCCCAAGGCGCCTCTGCCAAAAAAAAAAAAAAAAAGGCAATCAGTAGAACCGCTTAGATTCAGGCCGAGGTCAAGGTGGGCTGGACCAACTCAGGTGTGTCACCTGACACCTCTTCCAGGGACAGCCACTTTCCCCTCCCCAAGGCCACAGCGGTCCCTGCCGGACACAAGGGATACCAGCCCCAGGCGGGCACAAGAGGTACCGGCCCCATGGGGCGCCCTGGCCTGGTGAAGGAGGCTGGGGGGCCTGCTGAGGCCTTCACCCCTATCTACTTTTGTATTCACTTTCTGGTTGCTTCAGAGAGAATTCCTAGCATCTGTCTAGATTTTTTCAGGTTCCCGCCTCCTGGGCCAAGTCCGGCGTCCCCAGGAGCCCCTCACCCCCACGCCCTTTCTCTCCCCACAAACCAACACCCCACTAACCGCCATTATCCGGGCCCCGAGAACAAGCCGCGCCCTTCTGCACTCACCTGGGATCCCAGTCCCGGGCCTTCCATTTCCCCAGGTGCCCAAAGCAGTGGTGGCGACTTCCCAAAGTGGCAGCTGCAGCCCTCCCGCCAGCCCGCCTACGGCCTCCTCAACTCCCACTTCCTGCTCGCAGCCCCGCCTCCGCCGCCGCGGCCCCAGCTCACGCCCAGCACAATCGGCCACGGGACAACCAATCCCAACCCTCCCCTCGGTTGGGGGCGGGACTTTCGCTCGGCTGGGGACGCTAATCGGGAGCTGCCAGCCTGAAGCTTCGCCCCTGGCCCGCCGGAGGCTCCCTCATCCTCAGCTCAAGGTTGTGCACCCCCATCCCAGGTGTCCACCTTCTGCTTATGTCTCCGCCTAACCCCCGCTCAAGTATAGGCTCAAACTGTTGTTATTCCAACGTCAACCAACATTTATTGACACCAAATCTGGACTTGGTTACTTAGAAGATGACTTTGTGAAAGTCTGTTCCTTTATTTACTTCCGAGTCCGACTCTGTGAAACGGAGAAAACAACGGTATCTACCTCCCAGAATGATCAGCAAGGTTAAATGAGAAAAAGCATGTAAACTCCCTCAGCCAAAAATGACAGAATAACCAATCATTAAATGTTAGCTATTAAAACATTTGCTGGGCTCCACTTCATTCAATGATCTTGGACAAATAACTTCTACCACCTAGAGCTCTCATTCCTCAAACAAAAGAAAACGAAA